ACGCAGAAGGCAAGAGAAGGTGGTGGTTTAGTGTGCCTGTCTCCATTCTGTTCCCAATCCAGGTGCCACCTTCCTGAACAGTTGGGATAGGCAGGCAGGAAGGCCTGGGGAGCCAGCAGGATCCCATGGTTAGGAGTCTCAGGAGGAGGGTCCCGGCTCACACCTGTGAGTGAGCCTGCCCCATGGAGAGGTGGAGGGGTTGTAGGGTGGGCTTGTTCCCCACTGCCTCTAGGCTGGGAGAGCTGAGGGAATAGGATGTAAAGAGGCATCCTCCTGGTACCTCACCTGGAGACAGGCCCTGTGCTTCCCACTGGCTGCACCACCAGCCCATAAGCCCCTTCCACTACTCTCAAGACTACCTACTTAAGGCACTCCAGTGACTAGAGAGAGGAAAGTCACATCACATCTAATGGGGCCCTGCAGCCACAAGGAGGAAGAATAAGCACTGCCCTTAACACAGGTGCAGATGAAATAGAAAACAGGTAGGCCTTGAATAAAAAAATAATTCCTACATTTAAGGAGATCCAAGTGTCACATAACATTTCTTCTTGAACTTAAATTTCTAAAAGTCAGTAGATGGACAGGAGGGCAGAGGAAGATGGCAGAATAGAAGCCTCCACCAATTGTCCTCCCCACATGAACACCAAATTTAACAACTATCTACAAAATAAAGCACCTTCCTAAGAACCAGAAAGCAGGTGAGCGATCACAATACCTGATTTTAACATCATGTCACAGAAAGAGGCACTGAAGAGGTAGGAAGGACAGTCTTGAATCACTGACACCACCCCTCCCCCATCCCCCGTCAGCAGACCACGTGGCTCAGAGAGAGTCTGTGGGCTTTGGGGAGGGAGAGTGCAGTGTTTATGGGACACTGTTTTGGAATGCAGGGCGGCCAACCAGCGGTGATAACCAAGTAGTGTGCCATGGGCCTTGGGCAAGAGTCTGAGACATTCTGGCTTTAGGGGTGCCTCCACACATTCACAGCTGTGGTGGCTGTCAGGAGAGACTCCTTCTGCTTGAGAAAAGCAGAGGGAAAAGTAAAGGGGACTTTGTCTTTGGCTTAGGTACCAGCTCGGCCACAGTGGAGAAGAGCACCAAGCAGGCTTTTGGGGTCCCTGACTCCACGCCTTGGCTCTTGGACTCTTGGATCTCTAGATGTACCCTGGGCTAAATGCGGGCCCCACTGCTCTGAAGGGTGAGTCCCAGGCCTGACAGGATTCACTACAAGCTGAATGAAGAGCCCTTGGGCCTTAAGTGAACAATGGCAGTAGCCTGACTTTATTCCCTGTGGGCATGTGATGGACACGGGGAGACTCCTCACCCTGGGGGAAGGGGAGGGAAGAGTGGGAAGGACTTTGGTGGTTTCAGCACTAGCTCAGCCGCAGTAGAATGGAGTACCAGGTAGATTTCTAAGGTTTCTGATTCTAGGCTGGGGCACCTGGACAGCGTCCCTGGACCTGCCTGGAGCCTGGGGGAACTCGTTGCCTTTAGGGGAAGGACAGAAGCCTGGCTGGCTTCACCACTTGCTGATTGTAGAGCCCTAGGGCCTTAAGTGAACATAGGGGTGGCCATGTAGTGATTATAGCAGGCCTTGAGCAAGATTCGGTGCTGTGCTGGCTTTAGGTCAGACCCATCACAGTCCCGGTGGTGGTGGCTACAGAGGTGCTTGTGTACCCCTTCCCAGCTCCAGGTAGCTCAGCACAAAGAAAGAAAGACTTTTCTTGTTTGGGAGAAAGTAAGGGAAGAGAATGAGAGTCTCTACCTGGTAATCCAGAGAAATCTTCTGGATCTTTTCCAAGACCGCAAAGGTAGTACTTCTACAAGTATGCAAGAACTACAGTGTTATTGTGCTTGGGGTACCCCCTAATGCAGATATGATTGTAGTGACCGAAAACTTAGATTACTTAACACCCAAGTCCCTTTGGATATCTGGAAAGCCTTCCCAAGAAGGATGGGTACAAACATTGACTAACATCCACAAGCATCAAGACCGTGTAGGAAAACATTACCTCACCAAATTAACTAAATAAGACACCAGAAGTCAATCCCAGAGAGACAAAGATATGTGACCTTTTAGATAGATAATTCAAAATAGCTGTTTTGAGGAAACTCAAAGAAATTCAAGATAACACAGAGAAGGAATTCAGAATCCTATCAGATAAATTTAACAAAGAAATTGAAATAATTGGCCAGGAGCAGTGGCTCACACCTGTAATCCCAGCACTTTGGGAGGCCAAGGCAGGTGGATCACCTGAGGTCAGAAGTTCGAGACCAGCCTGGCCAACATGGTGAAACCCCATCTCTACTAAAAATACAAAAATTAGCTGGGTGTGGTGGCGGGTGCCTGTAATCCCAGCTACTCAGGAGGCTGAGGCAGGAGAATCGCTTGAACCCAGGAGGCAGATGTTGCAGTAAACCAAGATTGTGCCACTGCACTCCATCCTTCTGGAAAGAAAGAAAGAGAAAGAGAGAGAGAGAAAGAAAGGAGGGAGGGAGGGAGGGAGGGAAGGAAGGAGAGAGAGAGAGGGAGAGAGAAAGGAAAAGAAAGAAATAGAAAAAAAGAAAAAGAAAGAAGGGAGGGAGGGAAGAAAGAAGGAAGGAAGGAAGGAAAGAGAGAGAGAAAGAGGAGCTGGGATGAGCTGTGCTCCTGGAGGAAGCAAGGGAGCCCAGCTGGAGCCATAGCCAGTACAGTGGTAGCAGTTGGACTGACCATTGCTGCTGCAGGATTTGCAGGCTGTTATGTTTTGCAAGCCATGAAGCATATGGAGCCTCAAGTAAAACAAGTTTTTCAAAGCCTACCAAAATCTGCCTTCAGTGGTGGCTATTATAGAGGTGGGTTTGAACCCAAAATGACAAAATGGGAAGTAGCATTAATACTAGGTGTAAGCCCTACTGCCAATAAGGGGAAAATAAGAGATGCTTATCAACGAATTATACTTTTAAATAATCCTGACAAAGGAGGATCTCCTTATATAGCAGCCAAAATCAGTGAAGCTAAAGATTTACTAGAAGATCAAGCTAAAAAATGAAGTAAATGTATGATGAATTTTAAGTTCATATTAGTTTATGTATATGAGTACTAAGTTTTTGTAATAAAATGCCTCAGAGCTACAATAGAAAGATGAAAGAAAGAAAGAAAGAGAAAGAAAAAGAAAGAAAGAAAGAAAGAGAAAGAAAGGAGGGAGGGAGGGAGGAAGGAAAGAAGGAAGGAAGGGAAGATAGAGGGAAAGACAGAAAGAAAGAGAAAATTAAAAAGAAGCAGAAATTCTGGAGCAGAAAAATGCTAGTGACATACTGAAGAATGCATCAGTCTGTTAGCAGAATTGATCAAACAGAAGAAAGAATTAGTGAGCTTGAAGCCAGGCTATTTGAAAATACACAGTCAGAGGAGACAAAAGAAAAAAAAGAATGAAAAAAGAATGATGCACAAGATCTACAAGATTTAGAAAGTAGCTTCAAAAGGATAAATCTAAAAGTTACTGGTTTTTAAGGGGAGGTAGAGCGAGAGATAGTGGTAGAAAGTTTATCGAAAGGGATAACAGAGAACTTCCCAAACAAGAGATATCAAAATTCAAGTACAAGAAATCAAAATTCAAGCACAAGAAGGTTATAGAACACCAAGTAGATTTAACTCAAAGAAGACTACCTCAAGGCATTTAATAACCAAACTCCCAAAGGTCAAGGATAAAGAAGGGATCCTAAAGGCAGCAAGACAAAAGAAACAACATACAATGGAGCTCCAATACGTTTGGCAGCAGACTTGTGGCATGACATATTTAAAATGCTAAAGGATAAAAACACTTAGCATAAAACCTACCATAGTGTATCTGGTGAAAATATCCTTCAAACATGAAGGAGAAATAAAGACTTTCCCAGACAAACAAAAGCTGAGGGATTTATCAACACCAGGCCTGTCCTACAAGAAATGCTAAAAGGAGTTCTTCAACATGCAAGAAAAGAATGTTAATGAGCAATAAGAAATCATCTGAAGGTACAAAACTCACTGGTAATAGTAAGTACACAGAAAAACCCAGAATATTATAATACTCCAATTGTGGTATGTAAACTATTCATTATCTTAAATAGCAAGATGAAAAGATGAACCAACCAAAAATAATAACAACTTTTCCAGACATAGACAGTACAATAAGATATGAATAGAAACAATGAAAAGTTAAAAAGTGTGGAGATGATGTTAAAGTATAGATTTAGCAGCACTTCTGAATATATATGTAATATATATATATGTGAAAATAAAGTATAGAGTTTTTACTACTTTTCTTTTTGCTTGTTTGTTAGTTTGTTTGTAAGTGCCTACATCAAAAAAGAAGAAAATCTTCAAATAAACAATCTAAGGATATGTCTTAAAGAATCAGAAAAGCAAGAGCAAACCAAACTCAGTGGAATAAAGGAAATAATGAAGATCACATCAGAAATAAGTGAAATGAGAACAATACAAAAAAATCAATGAAACAAAAAGTTGGGTTTTTGAAAAGATAAGCAAATTGACAAACTTTAGCTAGACTAAGAACAAAACGGAAAAGACCCAACTAAATAAAATCAGAGATGAAAAAGAAGA